CTAGAAGGGCCGTGATTCCCACCACTTCGACAAGCAGCCATCAGAAGGAGGTGATTCAGCAGCAGTTTGAACGCGATAATAATCGCCTGCGCATCCATCAGCGGCATTGTTTTGGAAGCCTCTGATTCCAATGAACTTGAATATACTTGAATCATCTGAATCATCCCGTCCCTACTGAACACACTCCCCTGGAAACCCTCAGTATCGGATGGGATCGTCGCATTCGCCGGGCCTTTGCTATCATCCGCTGGATGACCATCCTGCGTGAAGTACCAGTAGGGGGTTCCACGTCTCATGATGTACCTGCAGCAAAATCTCAAAAGCCCCCCGGTACGGCTCAAAATGCCAGGGGTAACAGTCTGTAACAGTCAATAGTCTCAAAATCAATGCATACCGAAGTATCCACATAGGCAGCCCAAAAATCAATGCATCCATCTCGAATCCACTATATTTAGGGGAAAGGATTACATGCCCTATCATGGCCCATGGATATAAATGGGTGCAGAATAGTTTTTGGATTTTTTTTTGGCTCAGGTTTTGGAATTGTTGTTGGCTTTCTTTCCTGGTACCATCTGCCTTGTATTTGCAACAGTTTGGAACTCTCTCTCCATCGCCATCTCAGGAGATCAGCAGTCAAGCTGAAGGCGAGCTAAAAAGGTGACGTGGCAGGTCAGCACGCAAGCTCGTTAGCCAGGCGCGTCATATCACCAAGCCACCGCAAAGGTAAAGTACAAATTTCTGTTACTATACATAAGGGGTCAAAGGGATGAAAATGAATAGGCAAAGATCCTAGCAAATCGGGCGGCCTCTCAGCATGTGAATCTTGATGAAAAAGGAGCACCTTCAAGTGAAAAGTGCTGGGCCGAAGCCACCCTGTTGCCAGAAAAAAGTTCCAGGATGTCGTGAATGGATTGAGTGCCCACTGGTGCCCGGTGGCAGCGCCAACCACGGCACCGATCCAATTCCAGAACACTGATAGCCGCCGAGTCAGTGATATCACAGACAATCAGCTGCTGACCATGGAACGTTCCTTGTAAGCAACGTCTTTCCCACAAGTATTTGGTGCTAGAAATAGCATAAACATTGGCCCCAAAGAGCTCGGCAACAGGCAAGCCGTGTGCAACCAGCCAGCCATGCTCCCTCTCTGCCCACTGCTGGTGGCAGGCTGCCGCACCAGCATCAAGCCCACAATGGTTGAGATACCGAATGACATTTCGGTGCCCACTGTTATTAGGCCCAGTGCGACATCGGCGGATCCCATGTGCAGTCACATCAGAATGTTGCAGCTCTGTAAGGCTTTGCCTAACAAGGTCAGTGCTAGGAAGGCGGAGAACATGCCCAACCCATCTCCACACCATCTTGGCTAGGAGGGCGTCCCAAGTTTCAGAATAAGTTCTGGACCACAACTTGACAGCATGACGTAAAGTGGCAATGCATTCGCCAACAAACCAAGAGTTGTGAGCACGAGCACCCAACGTCCAAGCAAGGAGAGTGACATGATGGATCCGGAGCTTTCGGAGATTGGTCTGGCTCACAGAGACAACGCACAGACACCATCTGATGGAAGCAGTGACTAAAGAGGTGAACAGGCGCAGGCGCAGGGGGCGGCAAGCAGAACAATGGGTAAGCAACCTTTTGTTGGTGAAATACGCGGTGGCGGCCCTTGCGAACAGTTTGGAACTAGAATCTGTCATTTTGCATAGTATTTGCTACTTTTTTGGCATGGTCACTTTGCATTTTGCATGCTTTTCGCTACATTTGGCCATGTTCGCCTTCCATTCTGCATGGTATTTGCCACGTTTTAGCACTTCAACCTCTCATTTGCATGGTATTTGCTACATTTTGGTACTTCAAACGTTCATGTGGGTTTCTTGAGAGTTTCTTTAGTGTTTCATTTAGGGTTTTAGGGTTTCATTTAGGGTTTCATGTAGGGTTTCATTTAGGGTTTCTTTAGAGTTTCGTTTAGGGTTTTCTTTAGGTTTAGGGTTTCTTTGGAGTTTCTTTAGGGTTTCATGTAGGGTTTCTTGTCGGGATTTCTTATCAGGAATTCTTATCAGGAATTCTTATCAAGATTTTCAAACGTTCATGTGGTTTTCTTTAGGGCTTCTTTAGGGTTTCATTTGGGGGTTCATTTAGGGCCAGGGCGGCCAGTGTTTCTTTAAGGTTTCTTTAGGGTTTCATTTAGGGTTTCATTTCAGGTTTCATTTAGCGTTTCTTTAGGTTTAGGGTTTTGTTGGAGTCTCGTTTAGGGTTTCTTTGGGGTTTCATTTAGGGTTTTTTAGAGTATCGCTTAGGGTTTCTTTAGGATGTCATGTAGGGTGTCATTCAAAGTTTCTTTAGGGCTTCATTTATGGTTTCTTTAGGGTTAAGTAATGGTTTCTTTAGGGTTTCATGTGAGTTTCTTATCAGGAGTTCTTATCAGGATTTCTTTAAGGTTTCTTTGGGTTTCACCTAGGGTGTTTACAAAAAGGAGAGAATAAAGCAAAAGAAAAGAAAAAACAAAGAGGTAGCAAAGACAGGAAGCAGAGAAGCAGGGAAAGCAGAGAAGCAGAAAAGAAAAGAAGCAGGTAAAGCACAAAAGCAGAGAAGCAGGGAAAGCAAGGAAGCAGAAAAGAATGAAAAGAAGCAGGTAAAGCAGACAAGCAGACAGGCAGAGAAGAAGGAAAAGCAAAAAGCAGAAAAGCAGGAAAGCATAGAACCAGGAACCCAAAAATAATTCCAAAACCTGCCGCAAAAAAAAATTAAATAAATAGCCCTCCGATAAAAATAGTCCGTGCATTGAAATTGCGTGATGGTGATTGAGATATTGCAATCACTGCTGGCCAATGGACATCCCTCTCAGCACGAGTTTCTCAGTTGCTCAACTACCCCAAAACAAAAGAATTGATGGTTGACACTCATCAACTCATGCTGGACAACAAAAAAGGGTGCTTTAAGGCTTTTGTGTACGGCTCGACTCCAGCCCAGGCCTGAAAAGTATGATGCCGTTTCGATTTGCAAAGACCGGAGCTCCGTTCTCCACTCGAGAGGTCTTAGTGTAGCATCCATTCACCTGGGGAGAGTCTAAAATCCAATATATCCCAATGGGGAATGTAGTGCCCAAACGCTTCAGAGGTCTACATTCCGATCAAGATAGTGACAATTAGTGATTGGTCCAGTTGAAAAAGGCTGTGCCAGTTGAAAGCCTAATCCATTGGACTCAGGAACCCACAATGCCTGGCATGTTTCGCATTATCCAATTGCGGTACCTAAACATTCACGCGTCACGTCCCACATTTCCATGCGGGGCTGTTTTGAATCCCCATTTTAGAAGAAACAAAGCAGCCATACGGGCCAGAATTAGATCTTCTGCAGAAAATACTCGCCGCCGCTGTTTACAGCAGTACATATCCCCATTTCAAGTCAACAAACTTTTGAGTTATCAGCTACTCGTCCGAGTTTTTCGCAAATTCGACACTTCCATTGTCGTCAACCCCACATTGATGATAAATCCATCATCGTTAAATACTTCGGCGAAGGATCTACCAGTTCCATCATAATTCGATCGTCTTTTTGTCCAAATTTGTTTACTGCTTGGTGGTGACTTAACCATCTTGAAAAATGATGGACTTCGTCAATGAGGAGGACTATTCCTTATATTAACCACCAACCAGATATAACTTGATATAACCAGATGATGTTGATTGCTAAACCTCAAAATATCCAAAATATCTGACACGCCCTGATGGTTGCGCCCGCCTCCTCACGCCCGGCACCCTGTACACGGTAGGCGCAAGGCTCAAAGGTCACGTTCAGCACGGCACCGTAGTCCAGCCCCGCATCTGGCGAGAGGTATGGAAGGAGCTGCCCCACAAAAAACTTGGGAAAAATGGCAGAAACTGCCTGGAAAGACGCAGAAAGTTACAAATGTAATCACTCCAAAAAAAGTGGGAAGCCATTGGGATAAATATGTATGATCACAATGATACAATTGTAAATTTCATCAGTGGAAATCATCGATTTAACCAATCAGACTTATCACCATCATGGTGACCTGAAAAAATGGATGCATTTCCATGGGTAGATTAGATTGGCAGGGGGCAAATCCTGGTTTGAGCCGGTGAATTCACACTTTTTCCCGTTTAAAACCATCATTTTTGGGTCGAAAATCACTCTTTTTATGGTTGATACATCTGATACTTAAAAACCCATGTGTAGCACAAGAAAAGATCGACAGTCGTATTTCCAGATATTTCCAGGATGTTTGTCTTCCCAGTATTTTTCAGGTTTCCAACTTCTCTTTTTGGGGCCCAACACCAAGGCACCGGTCAACGAGGAGGACTCCTCCAGGATATTGCCATCAAAGACCAGCTTCGAGACGGCCTTGCCCTCCTGGTGTCAAAAAAATCTTCACCTGATTTATCAATAGGGGGTATACCATTTATATCCATTTATCAAGGGAAACATAATTAACATAATTATCTTTGGGGATAATTATGATTAGTCACGGGTTTATTGATCCTGGGTTGATACTAATAAACTGAACCCTGAACTACTAAATTGTATTGAGGAATTCAAAGTGTTTTAGGCTATTTGAAGAAAGTCGTAGATGTCTAATCAGATTAGGGCAATCTTCACTACATTCAGAAATAAATGTGATAGCTATGTATATATATATATATATGTGTGTGTGTGTGTTATATGTATATGTGTTGCTTATTTATTTGTCTATCTATTTATTTATGTGTTTATGATGTATTTATGCAATTATATATTTAAAATTATTTACTTTTCTTGTTTCAATCTTTATATCTATCCGTGTAAAGATATATTTTATATACACACACCCCGCGTTTCACATCTTTCTTTTATTCATCCGTGTTATATACAGTATAAATGCATGCATGTAAGCAACCAAATACTGGGGATGGGCACAGCGGACCCACGCAGAAATGCATCGACACCAAATGTGGAGGTCTGGTGGGTGAAGATGTGAAGGTCTGGTGGGCACACGCATCCCAAAGAGGTAGTTCTACCAGGCACTACCAGGACATTTACAACTCAGCCAGCTCCAAAACTATGATGGAATGGTTTGACTGATCGGTTGAGAAGGCTGCCCACATTGGATGTCAAAAGTTACAACTGAACAGACTGGTGGAACCCCATGAGCCACTTGCTGCCACTGCAAACCACTAAAATGTCTCACCAAGAAGTGGGATCTCCCAATTCTCACCGTGTTGTTCGGCCGCATGATGCAGTATTGTAACTTGGCTGGGGCCTTTGGAACCCTTTCCCCCAATGTTGAATACCCCCTAGAAACATCTATATAGAAACATCTAGAAACCCTAGTTTGGTACCTACAGTACCTAATCTGTTACTTGGGGTCCCTTGGGTGCTGTCCCACCCAGGCCATCTCCTCCACCAAGTGGTGCACTTCGTTGATCACGTCTGCCACCTCAAGCGGCTCAAGGGCTTCGCAAGAAACCATCGGCTACCCTCGGACAATCATGGCAATGATGGATGTTTGAAAAGGAAAATCATCTATCAATGATGGATTTTCCATTGACATATTGGATTACCGGCGGCTAACTGGGGGTGAACTGGATATCCCTTCAGTAATTTCTTTGCTTCCCAAACGCCACGTTCCACCACTCCCTGGAGAGTAGTCAAACATCATTGTGATTCAGTGCCCGCTGGAAATGTTCAGGTTGTATCATTTGGGCCCCTTTTTTGAATTTAACCATCACAGAAATGTCATAGTCATCAAATCTGGGTTCAGAAGCCCCGCACTTAGATTTCTCATTATTTGCCTTGCCTATATAACTCACCTCTAAAAATACAATGATCCAAGAATACCCATGCTGCAGGCCCCAACAATGGCGCATTGGGGTTCCCAGCCAGCCCCTGGATGATAATCCCCAATTAATATTGGGTGTATAAGCCCGAAACTCATCATCAAGCAAAGGAGGTTTATGTCTAGTCCTTAACAAGGCGTTGGCCGACCAAAGTCGCAGTTCCCACAGTGTCCCATGCCTGGGCTTTCCGTGGTACTTCCACACGTCCCAGCTCAGCACCGGAAAGGAGTCGGATGGGCAGTTTGACGATCTCCTCTTCCTTCCAGTCACAAATTGGACCATCTGGGATTATCTGGGATCGACTTTGGTGAAGTCTTACATCCAGCAATATTCAATTGAAGGCCATCTGGGGAACTCGTGGTAAAGTCTTTTAGGGTCACAAATCAGGCGCCAAAATCAGAGCCTTCCTAGGAGGGATGCTTTGAGCTAGATCTTCTCCAACTCCTCAATGCATATCACATGAGGCACTGACGAGACTGCAAGGGGCAACGGACATGATTCCCCTACTGAAATTTCCTGCAATTGTTTGTTGTTCTGCTCAAGATCTTTTCCCCATATTTTCCAAGGCTTAGAGCTTTTCGATTTTTTGGGGATTGCTATAGTAATTCCAACATACTTCAACCAACTTATCCATCCGCAGAACCCGCAGAAACCGCAGCCCATCTGCACCTGCACCCGTGCGATGCGCGCAGCCAGGTCTAACACCGCGCTACGGAGCTTGTTCACATCGCACCGGTTGGGCACCTGGCGAAAATCAATGAAGCAGAAAGGTAGTTTACCACCACCATAGTCACTTTTTGGCAACCCCTAAAAAAATAATTGGTAAAATCTAAGATGGTGATGAATCACGGTTCTATCTTTTCGGTGGTTATTGTGTTGTAAAAATGAATTTGTTCTAGCTTTTAGGCCGGTGCTGTTGGAGAATGAAAAATGATAGTCAGTTCAAAACAGGAGGGTTGTCTCTCCTTATACTTGGAATTTAATCCACTCAACGTGGTAAACTAATGCCACAAAGTTTGTTTTTAAGCATGTGTTTTTAAATATACTCTCTGTCTTGATTTATGGGAAATGGGGACCATTGTTGCCATTGCTTAGACTTATAAATTGTGGTCCCACAGTGGCGTATTTGCGCCCACAGAGCCACCTTGATGAAGCCCAGTTGGAATGCCCGATGACCGGATTGGCACTATCATTGGCACACGTTGAGATGGCAAATCGACCGAAACAGCTTAGAGAATTTGTTTGGGAGCTCCCTGAGTTTCTCCCAAAATTGTACAGGTTTATGATGACCAGCCAACCCTCAATGAATTGTGGAATACCCAAGTTGATGAAGTGCTTGAGCAGTGCTTGAGGGCTATCATTGATATATCATGATACTTTGGATGATTAATTTCCTCTCCAGTTGCCATGCTGAAAAATGGCTGATTGGTCATCGCCTCCCCAGACATGGGCTGCGCTAAGACTTCCAGTTCTGCCAGTACCTGGCGAGTCGAGGTCACTCTGGTGATATTTTCATGGGGAAAACTGTGACTAGCCTCCAGAAAGCAGAAATCAATGGGTTTCCCTTGAGAATTATCTAGATCTATGGTGGATTTTCCGTACCCTCTTTTGAGACCCAGTTGGCACACGGATGTTCATCCCCAGTCCCCTGGCAAAATGTTGAAATTTAAATCTTCGATGCCAAATATGCAATCTGGCTAATGGTTCAGCACCCCCCGGGAAAATATAAACATCAGTCAGTGAAAAAATCAGTCTGCCAAATACGGGCTGAGAGTGAAGAATACAGAATACATGAGTCACCAAGCACCAGTTGTTGTCCCTCCCTTCTCTGTTCGTATCAGCCCTGGTCCTGCCGGCGCACACCCTCGCCAGGTAGGGCAAGCTCCATCGGAGACGTCATGGTGATTCAAATGGATCGGATAGAGCAAGTGAGCAAATATCCGATATCAAGGCGGCATCAACACTATCTGCAGCATCTGCATCAAAGCAAACAGAATGCACTAATTACCTGCCTGACAGACTATCTTGCCTTGCACGATGCAAAATTGTGTCATCTAACTCTGACTGCTTAATCTGCTAAATGGATTGGCCCTCCTGTTTTTTTTGAATCGAAAGGGGCGACGCAATCTGAGCAGGGTTTTCTTTCCCTGCTTTGAGCCGATGTTTGTCACCCAGCACTGAGATCTGCAAAAGAAGTGCCCTATGCCTCCGTCAACATCCCCCTCGGGGTGGTCTTCCCACCATCTATGTCAACAAAAAACGGTGAATGAAGTGAAGCATAAGAGACGTAAACAATGCACACACAATAAAGGGCAAGACTCTTCAAGACCTTCTGCAACATGTCGCAGCTCTGTGAATTGAGACCATGACCTATCCAAGCCTCACTTCCAGCACAGCCACCGCCAAAGTCATCGGGGATGCCGCGACAACTGTTTGGAGCGGAAAGGGGCACTGCAACTAACTACAGCAGCACTGTGGCTATTGGCGATCCACGGCTTACTCAAGACATGTGTATACTTTACATATAAATGTATACTATACATAAAAATGTATATATATATATATATAGATAGATATATTGTGAACAAATTTACCCTTGTTCGGGGTGCAGTATTGTTCGGGTGCTCGGATTGAGTGCGGTTAGCCAAAGGCAAGTGCCATGCAACAGCAGCGAAGACAACGTTTCCCTTTTACGCCTGCGGTTTGGGGTCTTGAGCCAAAATTGGCGTTCAGTATGCAAAGCTGTATACATGCACAAATGATGACATGATACAGCATACTACCGTGCAGTTCCCTTTGACACCCCCCATGCCCGAAGTTGTTTTAAATTTTGGGCACGAGAGAGGGAACAAAGAAATTACGCTGTGCACGCTACAACTACCGCAAAAAGAATCTGTATGTTAATGGTTCACTCCTCATCAGTCCGTTGGACTCAGACTCGGAGATCCCCATGCCAACTTCGTGGCAATTTCGTGGGTAGTGGTATCATGGTGTACAAAGATGAACCCACGTCAAGCTACGCTAACTACCATGTAAATTTGATAATGTCGGCTGTCCGTTGGACGCAGCTAACCTATCGCATCTACGTAGATAGCGAAACAGCTATCAGTGAATCTACTCTGTACATAGGAAAAAAATGAATTAATTGACTGGGAATTAGTGTGAAAGGCAGTCTAAGCCAACTACACTAGCGACGCTCAGAGTCCTCTCAAAAGTTACAGTTCATCATCATCCGTAGCCAACGAAGATGGTGTTCACCACATAGCCCCGTATCGATCACTGGTCAGTCTTCTTCTTCTTCAACTGGGGCGTCTGTTGTGGCTTTTCACTAGGCGGAGGTCGCGATGGCTTAGGTGCAGCCTTGGCAGGCATTGCTTTCTGTGGTAACTTTGCCTGTTGTGTTGGTGCAGATGATGGAGCGGCGTATGAGGACGATGATGCAGCTTCAGAAGCAGTCCCCTTTTGCGGAGGTGGTTTCGGCGCCACTGCTTTGGGCTCATGTCCATGCCCAGATGCAGCGGTCCTTGATGCTTCGGCTGCTCGTTGGGCGCCTTCGTTGTCCGGCCTCGGTTGCTTTTGGATCGAGGTTCGGGGCCATGGTCTGTTTCCAGCCCAACCTTCCACGTTGCGCCTCTTTCTCAGCGTACGCCAACGAGTAGGCCATCTTCGCCACAAACATTTCAGCAAGAACAACTCCGCATTGTTGCGCGGCGATCAGTAGTTCTTCGCTGCGTTGGGTCTCACGAAATGCGAGGTACACTGTGAATGCAGGAATTTCCTGGCAGTTCGGGAAGCCATGATCTCCCGATCTGAAGTACGCATAGTGCTCAGACGATGGAAATGCGCCTTTCAACAATCGTGACACGAAGTCACTAATCATCTTCCTCATTTCCCCTTTCTCCTCGTTGGTTCCTTTCATCTTGCTCCTTGGAGTGAGGAATTTCATCCTATCTGGAGTGTATCCAGCATGAACGAGGAACTCCATCATCTTCTCGTACACCTCGAGTGTCTTCACCACATGTTGCATCATGTCTCTTGGCCTGCCGCCAAATAACTTTGCCCTGTGACCAAGAAGTCGGTGCGGCCTTCTGATCATACCATTCCATGAGCTGCTCCGCGCTCGGCTGTTTCAAAGATCCCTCGTCGTTCTCTCCAGTGTAAGGACAGATGCCATCAAGGTCGAGTCGACCAAGCTTGTTGTTCACCATCTTGTTGTAATAGTCGTCTGGTGACATCATGACCCTTTGATCATAGTAGTGCTTGTACATCTGCAAGATCTTGGAGATCACTGCATTGTCAAACAGCTGAGCAGCAGCCTCAGACACGTCAATGTTGACGAGTCCCTTGACTGGCATTTTCTTGCATCCGGCCTCCAAGTTCATGGCCCAGGCGGGGAGTTGGTTGGTTCTTTCTTCCGTCTCCAAGGCAGCTTCCTCCTGTTGGGCGTCGATCTCATCTTCTTGTTCATCGACTTCGATTTCGACGTCCTCGGATTCTTCTTCTTCTTTCATTTCTTCATCTTCTTCGCCATAGCCGACTCTGTGGTGTCGAAGTCAAATTGGCTCCGAGTCTCAGCATTTTCTTGGGCTTCGTGTACGGTATCTTTGAACATCGATTCATTCGCCTTGCGAATTTCTTCATCGATTTGTTTCTTGGTGGCTTCATCTTCGTCTTCTTCATCAACTGGATCATCACGACGATATGGCCTGATACCGTGGCTTTCCAATGGGGTCCAACATCCCACGCAAACTGAGAACTTCGTGGGCGTTTCGGTGAGGCAATGCGGGCAGAATCTACATCCAGCCTCGGTCACGGCTTTCCTCTCAAGGATGTAGTCGACCAACTTCAACCGTGCTTCGTACTGCTCCTTGCCTCCTTCAATGATTTGACGGTTCTCGAAGCGACTCAAGATGGTCATGACCCCCATCGTCTCCTCATCATAAGGTTGGCCAGCAGCATTGACGCACTGTCGCGCAATTCGAATCACCGATTCTTTTGTTGCGACCTTCCTGGATTTGACAGATCCTGTCCTGATAACTTGTTCTTCACCAGAAGGAACGATCAGGCGATGCCATCGACAATTTGCATCCTGGATCCATCCTCCACGGATCTTTGAGAAAGGTACAAATTGATCCGTGACAACCTGGCCCGCGTCGGTCAAACGACCGCGAAAGTCCCTCATGAGGGTCTCGGTAGGGATGTAGAGGCATACAAATCCCCCCAGGCGAGTATCCACACTCTTGGTGATGTTCCAGGATGGAGGATCCCAAGGAACATATAGGTTGAAAAACGTGAAGATCCTCGTGTTCCCATCCAAGCCGCCAGGGATCAGTCCCTCCTTCCAAATACTCTTTAAGCGATCCTTCATGGTAATGTGAAAACATACCGGAAGCAATATCACTGTGTTCGGAGCAACTCGATGAGACAAGAGGGATGCTCTCAAAGTGACGTCATTGACCAGGCTAAGCTTGTGACCTGTTGGTGCTCGAACGGCCACCGGGTACAGGAGTAGCCCTTCCTCTGGAATTTTCGTGCTTCGATCGACGTAGTTTGCTCTGCACGTCTCACCGTTCCTGTCGATGTCCGGGTAGAAGGCAAGGACTTGTTCACGGACTCGACGCCCATATCGGGCGCAGTGGAACATGATCCTGAACAGGATACGATACTCATTCGATAACCTGCCTCCTGCTTGTCCCACGCCCGTTTGTCATTGATCCTTCCTCGTGAGGCTAGGAATGTGTGTGGTGTCCTGGATGAGTCCTGCCTCCAAACGTTCTCATACTTGAGGAGGTCGTCGATCGGAACCCAGCCTGCATCATCGCAAACGAGACCAAGGTTGACTTTGTCCATAACCTTGCCCGCATGATGCCTGAGGACGCGATTTAGGGCATTTCTCACGTCTTTCTCATACGGCTCGAGTTCGTTTCTTTGCCCGAATCTGTACTTGATATCGTACTCGACCCCATTGTAGATCTCGTAGTTGTGGAAGAGACATCCCGTGCTCGGCACGATTTTGAGGAATCCGTCGGCAGGGGCCTCGACTCTCCTGTACATGGGCTTGCGGATGTTGGCATCAGCATATGCCGCCATGAAGTCTGGAACCTTCCAAACATCTCCGCCTCCACGAACGATTGCGTCACGAATGACATCGTCGAGCTCATTCCTGGTTCGGGGTCCTTCTTCGGTGATATTTCGACCATGCAGAACTTCCCGGCTTCATCCATGTCACCCACTTCAGACATGTACAGAATAGTGTCGTACCAATGGTACTCTCCAGTGCGGGCTTCAGCTGGCTCTTCTTCAGTAGCTTGTTGTCCAGCTTCATCTGTGCCCTCCTTTCTTTCTCCACCCTCGGCCTCCATGTCCACGTCAGATCTGGAGCTCGCGTCCTCCAATGATGCCCGAATGCCCTTTAACACCTTGTTGATGTCAGCCTTTTTCGGGCCGGTGCAATCGGCATGATCATGTTTCGTACTTCCGCAGAAGATACAAACATTCACGGACTCAGAGACGGCAAATAGGTTTCCCAGCGCATCCAGGAGCTGCTGTTTTCCAGATCTTTCGGATTCTCTGGCGGCATCAGCAAAGTCATCCTGAGGCTCTTCTGCATCTGCTTCCCCAGGATGGGTCGTGGACCCCAGTCCCGGTTGGGCTTCAGCATCATCACCCATGTTGACGTCATCACCTGTGATGCCTTTCTTCTTGTGGAATTCCTCAATTACGAACGCGGCTTCGTAGTCTGTCATACAGTTGAAGTCCCTCATGTGTTCGTAATCACAGATGCCATCGAGAATCCTCAGGACTTCCTGTGCCTTGGCTGGCTGGAGGGTGCAGTCAAATGATCCACGTCTCTTGTCGTTGATCGTTGAAGTGGTTCGCGAGACCGATCCAAACCCTCGGAGAGCCTTCTCTAGTCCATTGAGAAAGTCGGCAGGGTCAGTGTTGATATCGAAAATGTTGACCAGGCCCTTTTTGTCATGTTGGCGACATCAAGGACGCCCAGCCAAAACTCGATGATATCTCCTGACTTCTCCGCAGAGGCTCTCGTGTGAGCGAAGATCTTGTTCCTGTCTTTGGCCTCAGGAACTGCAACCTGCTCGTAGGCCACGTTGCCGCAGTCCTTGGTGAGGCGGAATGCCAACACATACTCCTTTGATACTGGATCAAAGATGCGCTCGCGATACACGCTGAACTGCTTTCCTCGGCCATTCTTGAAGATTTCTCTGGCCTGGTGGGGCGGTACCCTTACGCCCCACATGTGTGACAATGATTTCATGAGTTCCTCCCCATACCTGAGGTTGGCGTTTGCGACCACTGATGCAGCGGCGAAAACAAGCCATTTCTGGAACCCTTCATTGATGTCCATGTGCTCTAGGCCACAGTTCGCGAATGCCACCTTCAGACGAGCTGCTAGCATCAACACGGACTTCCTGGCACCAAGCGTCGGCGCAGATTTCTTGTAGTGGTCCTGTGTGTTTGCAGAGCAGTTGATGCAAGTCGAAGGCCGGCACTGGTTCATCTCGATCTCATCCATGGTCTGAGCCCTTCGGCAACTGTCACATAAGAAGTCGATGCTGTCATGGAATACAGGAAACCAATAGCACGTAGACATCGGTGACGGTTCCAATTCATGGATTTGCACCATGGGCTCGACCCATCGGGCCTTGTACCGCTTGTCCTTGTTGAACCTGGTTGTTGGTGCACCGTCTGGTGGACCTCTTTGGAAGACAGTTGCATCTGCGGCAGCATAGTCCTCGGGAGTCATTTCTCCGCTGGCGATTTTGAAGACTTGCGTAGGCCCAGTGACTTCCCTCAAGAGCGCAGGATCAATGCCAGACTGGTCGGGTTTATATGCACCCTCGTTGAGCGTTGCAGACTCGGCCAGGTTGTGGCGGATGATTTGCCGTTTGCGGCGGGCAGCCAAGAAACAGCAGTTATCACAGAAACAGTACTGCCAATGCCCGTAGGACATGAGAGAGCATTCCGCGGGGTCCTCCCAGTGCCGACTACGCGCGGGTTCTCCCGCAAGGCGCCCCTTCGTCGTGCAAGGCTTGCAACGCATGCAAGCAGAAGTCACTGGCCTGCTTGTCCTGCTATACACGGTGCTGCTCAGGTCAGGCAGACCTCGGGGTTGTGCTTGGCGACGGCAAGGTCGTGTTGCTACCTGGTCAGGGACAACATCTCACGAGTCCGAGACTTGGTGCTACAATCCAATCCATGGCTGCTGAGCAAAGATGACAACAAAGCAAAACATGTGCAATGGCTGCACGAACGTCACCAGGATTGAGATTGAGTTCAGGGTCGATTGGAGATAAACGGTTGCACCATATTCCAACCACACCATGTAGGGTTTTAAAGGCAACTGTCAACGGAGAACGGGATCTAGAACAGCAATTCGAAAAAGACGGGGCGACTGTGATACGCGGGTTCATGCTGACCCGGCCCCAATAGAATTGCGCAATGCTTGCTCCTCCATTTGGAAGACAGGGATTGGGTCAGAGGGGTCTGTGCCCATGCGGGGCAACTCCACAAGTTGGGTGAAACCGAACCGGGCGCCTGCCGCTACTTATTGTTTCAGTGAATTGTAGAGCGGCCTAGATTGCCACAAATTATGTGCCCGGGCTTCAAAGGCCAGGCACAGAGATGCTCCCTGTTTTGGTACCTGCGCACCTGCTGCTCAAGACACTGCCCAGATTGCCATGCCGGGCGCAATATATCTGCACAGCACGAAGCTTCGTGGCCATCTGAATTTGACCCTTGAAAATGTTTCTCATGGCTTGCAGCCGCAGGCGATTGCGCCATGGCGATTGCTGCACCAACATCACTGCACGATGGTGGCATTTCCAAACCACAGCAAGTGGGGCCTGGAAAGTCGACTGCGTCGAGGGCCAAAGCCTCCGTGGCCAGCCGATGAGGTAGGTGCACACCTGAAACACAGGGTAGACCTCCAAGTTCTTCTTGGTCGCAGCTCTACTCAACGTCGAGTAAGGCCTAGCACCAGGCAGCTGCGCTGCTGGAAAGCGCACCTTGCATCGCTGGAAGAACTGCAACTTGATGGACTGGAGGGCCTGAATACGCAAGAGCGCTTCCTCGTCGAGCGCGATGGCAGTGCCAGGATCGCTCTTGGCTGCCTTGCCTTGGACGCCGCTGTCCAATCAGCCTTCAACCTAGCACCCCGCAGGCGCTTGCCCTCCACGTCCGGGACTGCGTCCATAAAAGATGCAGCTGCATGGCATCGGCTGAGGACAACTGAAAATCAGTCAACGACGTGATGCAAAGCGACAAGATCTTCTCTGTGATGTTGGGGTGACAAGAGAACGACCTTGCAAGTCCTCAAAGAGCTGCGTTGCTGCAGCACCCGCAATGGGAGCAGCCATGCCGGCAACGACATCGGACCTGAACCAAGGGGGGTTGGAGCAAATGACTGCAGAGGTGACCAAATAGAGTCTGGGGCCCTGGGCTAATATCTACAAAACAAGAAATCGATGAAGGTGACATGGAGGCTGCGAAAAGCACTGGCCGTGAGGCTGACGCTCGCACCTTTTGATGTCAAAAACCCATGGGTGCGCCGCAGGAACGGGCAGGCAAGCGCATCGCCGCGAGACCCTGCAGGCCAGAAGGCACATGCCCAGTATATCAACATCAAGATGCACTGCTTGCGCTGCCGTGTCGCCGGCAAGCCTCATGCAGAGAGCATGGAAAGCGTCCAAAGTGGTGGGTACTGGCTACAACAACGAGAGACAGGCAGGGTGCGTCTGCTCCGGGCGGGCGCGCCACCTGCACATCTCTGCAAGGTGAGCCTACGCGTGGCGTGTTTCTTTGTCTGCCCGGCTTAGGATGGCTGCACCATCCGTGGAAAACGAGAATGCAACCGCAGGGACACATGAAACAAGGCAGGGCGCACCTGCTATAGGGGCAGCTGCTCCACCCGGCTGCCCCTTCTACGCATGAAAACGGTGGTGAGCACCGCAACAGAGGGCCCCGCGGCGCACGCGGGGTATAAACAAGCCAGCCCCCAAACCGGCCACTACGTGCTGCAAGTAGTTGGCGACCAAGCGCAGGTCGGTTCTCGGTGGGCCGAGCACGCTGCGAAGCCCATCACTCAGAGCAGTGAAAGTCAACGCGGTGAAATGTCGAAAAGTAGACCTGAACGGTAGCGAAATGGCTGCGGCATGCGAACCAGGCATGAAACGAACTGACCGCGTGAAATAGGCAGGGTCGGGACAGCTGCTCCACCCGGCTCAGAGCTGCACATCGAGCCATGCCCCATGGCAGCGTCAAAGGAAACTTGCTCCGCTGCGGCCAACAAAGCTCCAGTGGCGGCCGGTGCGCGATGCCCTAGCCGCTGCGCGGTGACTACCCTGCCGCTGGCCGAAGCCCTTGCCATTTCTGTGCACACTGCTGGTTGGCGATGGGGAACTTGGAACCTAAGGCAGCTGCGGGATTAACTCCGCCACGGAACTCTACCGAGGATTATTGATTACAGGCAGTTAACGACGAGTCAAACATCGAGCTCCTCTATAGGCGCTCAGCCTGATCTTGTGCCAAGATGCCCCCGACAGTGAGGTACAGGCCAACAGGTCGGTCCTCCACACAATCGTCGGACGTCAGGCGGTCTCTTCAGGGCCAGCCGTTCGAAGTCTGCATCATCGTCCGCTGCTAGCTGTGGATCATCGAGCTCCTCCTCGTCGACCAGCAGAGGGGCCATGGCTACACTGGATCCAGCTATGGGGTGGGAAGACGTCCCAGGTGGTTGCTCCACCGCTCGCTGCTTTGCGCGAGTATGCGCCCACTGCCGCAAATTGTGCGGGCCACTAGTGGGTTCTGAAAAGGGCCTGCAGCTGTGGCAGGGGGTGCAAACCGAAAATGTACAACCTCAGGCAGCGCCAGGTACTCCTCTCTGTAACTCCCATCTACCCTGATGCTGAGCATTGCTGACTTCGGACCACTGCGCGGCCTTGGCAACCAGGGGCTGGGATGCTTCCAGAGCGCGCACCGCAAGATACTGACTGCTCCAGCTTGAGGCCGCAGTAGCTCAAAGGGACAACCAGGCGCATCAGGCTTTTCATCTCCAGCCAATTTCTAAATGCAATGGTTAGCTAAAGTTAGCTATTGGAAAAGTCACTGAGGTAATGACAGCCTCCAGCTCCTGACACTCGCGGCACATCCTCCTCCGATAGATGGGGCGCAACCATCTGCTGCAGCACCACTTTTGCTGCAGATTGCTTCACCTGATCGCCTGTCGCAGGCAGCACGACAATACCAACCAACGTGCCGCCGAAGCGCCCACACAGCTGCATGACTGCTTCGGCGAGGCCCCACCTAAAGCCATGTCTAGTGTGCCGCCACTTGCCGCACGGACACAGGGTATGGTTGTTGAATCTCAGAAGGCAGAGACCACATCATCATGCGTCATCCAGCGCGTGCTGGGAGCGCCATTGCGCAACAGGATCCGCCAGAGGAGGTGCACTCCAAGGGTCAGATGCACTAACACAGGATGCACCTGCAATTTCAGATCAAAGCTATTTTGGCTGCACGAGCCAAAATGGACACCGGCATTAAGTTGAAACCTGTGCACCAAACCTGTGCACAACACAGAATTGCTGTTGCAGCTGGTTCTCTCAGAGGGTCCTGCACAAGCCCTCTCCAGCTGTTGCATTGTCTCAGCTGTTCTGCATTCATTCCTGCTTGTGTCGTTTCTGAATTTCGCCAAGGCGATGGCCTAGGAATGCCCAGATCATCCTCAGTCTTTGGATGCATTGCCACTTCCTGACCAACCTTTTCCACCTTTGCACAGCAGGTCCTCCCAACTCAGCCAGGGCACACCGACCGAAATAGTTGATATGTTTCCAATGGCCAAGAGGGGGATCCACCACACCTCGATCGCAGCACTCAGGAATCCCAGCACATCCGCTACCGTGAACAAATCTATTGCGGATGCCCAAACGAGGCAGCAGCTTTTGATTGAGCCAAAAGATTATATGTGGGTGGCTCTACATGTTCAGTATGACCAGCCCATCATACTTGGAATCATTTACTTCACTTCGAGTGATCCACACCTGAGCAGTTTCCAAAACCTATTTGCGGAATACTTCTAATGGTTGGTTGATTTCGATTCTGCCAACAGATTGTACTAATCCCCTACCAACCAAGGAAGTGAACCCCAAATAACCGTCAAACTGCTCTCCTTGAACGAACCAACACACAGGAGTCTTTTTTTCCGGCCCGAGCTGTGGCTCCGAAGGTCCAGCGTCAGCAGGTCAGGACGCCTCAGCAGTCGCGTCTGTCTCGGGCGGGGCGGGTGCTCCCATTGATGATTGATTGTTCGATTGATATTAACCTCGGATAAATCAATCCACAGATTGATTGGTAAGACGATGCACATTTCAACATCTGAATCCTTTTGGGGTGGTTTTCCCAGGCTTTTGAAGCCAGGGTGTGCATCAGTACCCAACCGTTTTGATGGTACTGGGCGTAGCCCGGAACTGGTCTGCAAAAAAAACAGGAGTCTATCTTCGAGTAGGATCCGGGTGGTCAATATGCATGGTCTATCACTCCAGTTGATTCTGATTTCAACCATCAGTTGGCTCAGTGGATACCAGGCCCACTGTTCAAGCGTTGTAAGAACCCCAGTTCAACCCTGAAAGTGAGTTGATCTTTGACCCTCCACACCGACCCGAAGCCGCCTTTTTTGAGGGAGATTGCTGAGTGCTCCCTTGAGCTGAGCAGCCTCTTCATCACTTCCTAAGGGCGGAGGACGTCCGTCATGTGAGCAACCTGTCAAAGCTCTGGGTTCGTACATGGGGATACACTATGACATGATACCATCCAAATCGTAGGGAGATACGAGGGATGGAGTCAGCACAATAAGGCCTAAAGACTGACAACCTGCATCCTCATCAGGGTGCTGATTTTCTGCCTTTTATGAAATTTCTGCCTTTCTCACTTTGCGGCGATTTCTGCAAACCAGCGGCTTTTTTAAGGGATCTCATGATTTCGAGGAAATGGCCTTTGTCAAACTGATGTATATGTTGAAAATGGTTGAAACAAATGATTGAGAAACATCAGGTACTGACTAAAGCATCCAAGGCAGGAACTTCCGGCATTCCGTGAAGTCCATAAGTCCATAGTGATCACAAACACTTTAGGAATCCAAAATCAACAGAAGACATTTCAGGCATCTATACTAATTTCATCTAATTTCGATCTAAAATCAGCGGAAGAGCCTTCATGTTTTTCATGAAGGCCCCGTCCATCCAAAATGATTGGAAGAGGCTTCAGGCATGTCTGAATATTGGTTTCATGAAGTCCCCATTGATCCAAAATCAGCAGAAGAACATTTGTGGTTTTCATGAAGGTCCTGTCTCAATCTGGATGCGAAGAAACTTCGGGCATGTATGAGTATTAATTAATTTGTATTAATTTCATGAAGTCCCCAATGATCCAAAATCGGCAGAAAAGCCTTCATATTCTTCATGAAGGCCCTGTCTATCCAGAATCATGTGAAGAAACTTGGGGCATGTATGAATACCAATTTCATGAAGTCCCCATTGACCCAAAATCAGCAAAAGAGCCTTCATGTGTTTCATGAAGGCCCTGTACATCTAAAAATATGGGAAGAGACTTCATGCATGTATGAACTATTGTTTCATGAAGTCCCCAGTGATCCAAGATCAGAAGAAGACTTCAGGCATTTATATACCTTTAACTTCACGAAGTCCCCATTGATCCAAGATCAGCGGAAGAGCCTTCATTTTTTTTCAATAATGAAGGCCCCATCCATCCAAAATCATGGGAAGAAAACTTTTGGGCATGTATGAAAGCACCCATTGACCCAACATCAGCAGAAGAACATCCATGTTTTTCATGAAGGCCCTATCCACGCAAAATCATGGGAAGAGGCTTCATGCATGTATCTAATGTAATGTCATGAAGTCCCTGTTGATCCAAAATCAGCAGATGAGCCTTCAGGCTTTTTATATGAAGCCCCTGCCAATCCAAAATCTAAAATCTGCAGAAGAGCAGAGCATTCAGGTTTTCAATGGAAGTCCTTTCCAATCCAAAGTCATGCGAAGAGACTTCAGGCATGTATTTATTGCAACTTCATAAAGTCCCCACGGATATCGATCTAATACTAGCAGGAGAGACTTCAGGCATTTCATGAAGTCCCCACTATCCATTGACGTGCTTCATTTTTTTCCTCAAAAATATACAAAAACTTATTTTTTGAGCGGCGTCTTTTCCCGTCCTAGCGGCGTCTTTTCCCGTCTTAGCGGCGGAAATTCCCGTCCCAGCAAATTTGATGTTAAAACGCATATGTGTCCCTCCAAACCTGTCTGTTGCGCTCCTCGGCCTCATGGATGGTGAATCTGTGCTT